GCATTGGCTGATGAAACAGAGACCCACACTTTCCTTTACTGCCTTAATCCTCAACCTACAGAGAGGGTCCTTAAATCATGTGTGGTAGTTGTTGAGGAAAAAAGTGTCTGCTTACAAGCATCATGATATAAAACAAACAGTCTCCCTTCTGTTACTGTGCCTTATTTCATAGGTGTCATTTTGAATTTGTCATACTTTAGTATATTCCACATTTAACAGCCATTAAACTCCAAAGAAATCAGCTTTCAGGACAATTTCAGTTCATCCAGTTTTTTAACCTCCATAGACAAACAGCGCGGTTGCTTATTTAGATGTAATTGGAGTTCGGCAGAAAGGAATGGCTGTTCCCACGTCCACCTGCTGACACGTGCTGAGGTCAGCTGCTTTGACAATGTTGCACTACTGTACCATCCATTCTAGCAGTGCAATAGTATTGTCATAGCATTTGGCCCCAGCTCCCTCTGTACGGGTGCTAAAGGGCTCGTTTCAAACCAGTTTGTGTAGAAGTGGAGCTAATGACTGATAGCAGGTGGCGGCATAGACCAAACGCCCCCTAAACTGTTTACCCAGTACTGTATTTACAGAAGAGAGTTTACACACATTCATAGGCTCATATAAGCACTAGCGGTTAGTACAGCCAGGTCGGTGCACATTAAGGAAAAAGCCATTTTAAAGTTAGAAAACCAAAATTGATTCTTGTCCAGTTTCTGTGATGGGTCTTTGGTTGGAAATGACTTTTAAATTTACATCACCGGTCATGAAAAATGGGGCTAAATATGTAAAGGTAGCTGTAAATAAAAGGGGGGCATCCAAAGGAGAGATTATGCAGGTAATGACAGATGTAAATGAAAGCAGCAATAGAAAAAGAATCAAAAGTGTAAACTGATGTTTTAATACCTGAACTCTTTTCCTTTATCCTAGATCTTTAAGTTTTCTACATCTTGTTTGTTAAATGAATTCTCTGTTAAATTCACTGTTTCTGTAGTGGAGTTCAGTCCGTTTTGTTGTCGTGACCTGTAGGGCGTTTTGTCACCATACCAAACACTGACTCCCTGTCGCTGATGGTAAGATAAGCAGATGAAAAAGAAAAAAAATGGAGGGAGGAAGGTTAATGTGTGTTTTTGAGCATCCTTAGTGGTAGCAGGTCGATGGGGGAGGGGACGTTTGGGTGGTATGTAGGGAGCAAAGCCCTCACCCCCCTCACATTTCTTTCTTTCTTTCTGCGGTAAGATTAAGTGTCTCAGCTCCCATGCGTGTCTCCTGAACTCTTCAGTAAAGAGGTGTGTTTGTTTTGATGACTCTCAACAGACCTCCCTGGATGTAAATGTTTAACCACATTCCATTTGTTGTTACAAGCTGTGGTAGGACACAAAATTAACACACAAAAAAACTGAAAAGAAACCCAGTTTTGGTGGCACTTCAACGTTTTGGGTATAAGAATGATTGTTGTGAGTGTGTATTAAAGCCAGTTTGTAAAATTCTTATTAATCATGGGAGGGGACTTGAATCTTGGAAGAAGTTACTCCGATGTAAAGGTATATTTAAGTGATTGCACACAAAGGGAAAGCACAAGGAGACCTAAGTCACTGTGTGAAATTCTCCCTGAGCAAAGAACGTGACTTGTTTAGGCTTGCTTGCAATGCTTGCTGGGAAATCCTGGAATGTGTGGAATGGGGGACGGTGGCGCTTCTGTAGTTATCTGACTGCACAGAGCAGCGAGTATCCTGCATTGAAACATGTCAGCGGTGCTGTTTGAGCAGCTTTGGATGTAAATTAGAGAAGCCACAGTGCAGATTAAAGTACAAAGGACACACTAATGAGATAATGACAGCAGCACTTTATTAAGTCCAAAAAAAAAAAAACATTTTATAAAAGTCATGAGTGGATGTGTTTTTATTACAGTGCTGGCTAATTAAGTTTTTTGTTGTAAGAGAATTTGTTGCAAAAGTGTGTTAAGAAGAAAAGTAGTAACACTAATATGGGATAAACAAATGTCAATGCATGTTTGTTTTTAATTATTTGTTCATAGCCATTTGTGAAACATTTCTGATGAAAGAAGCTCCTGTTCTTTGTTTCTGTCATTTTTCTTAATAAAGTCAATTAAATTAATGTATTTAGTTGTTACATGTCTTCTTTAAAAATTTTAAAAAAGCTAAATTTGATGTTTATGAGAAATCAGTTGTTTGGTTATCAGCTGCAGAAATTGGTGCTGTACGTCAGATAGCTGGTCTGACACCATTCTGCCCCGCTGACTGGTGTAATGTACAATTAGAAAGCAGAGAAATAAACTGTGAAAAAAGTTATTACTCTTTGAAAAGGTTTTTAAATCCAGTTTTTACTTGAGCACGGAAATCCGAGGCCTGATATCGGCCTGCTGGCTTCAAACTCTGTTCAGTGAAAATAAATCAACAGTGTGAATGTGTTTTGCTAGTGTTCACAAGCCAGTTGTCATTCACTAACAAATTGTCTCTCAATTATAGTTTGTTTGTAAAAAATCAACAACACAACAACTAATAATCAGCCTAAAATACACTTAACTTAACGTTAAACTTAGGATGTGCAGCCGAGTTTTGTTCAAACCACAAGAACTTTATATTTGGTTATAATAAAAAAACAAAGAAGCTACTGAATAACCACAATATATAAATATACATGTTTGGTGTTATATGTACAAACAGTACAACTGAACTCATAGGGTCCAAGAGTTAGAAAGACTCAAACTAGTGTTACTTTAATGAAGCAGCCTGGATGCTTTGATGGCGTGCCACCTTTTTTATTTTGATAACGGATTTATATTTTTGATGTTGATCACCCGGTTTCTCAATTTCCTAATGTGTAATATTTACATTTTGGATTCCTGTTATGTCCTTTTGTGAACACATTTTTTTTACAGTGTGTTTTATGATATAATCAAATCAAAACCATGTCCAGGGACATCCTCAACAGCCTCTCTCCTTCTCCATGTTCATTACTAAAGGTGTGATCAGGTACTGTATTATCACAGTGACGTGGGCAAAACTCTAAATGGCTGCACAGAGAGAAACTGATACTTTTCACCTCTCTGTGCTGCACAAGTTCGTTCTCTGTGAGAGGACGCCTCCTATGTCACAGTGCAGGATGGTGTATATTTTGTTGTGGGGAGAAAGGGGAAGGTGTGTGTATGAATGCAGTATATGGTTTATTAGAGTAAGTGTGTTAGAGTGTGACCAAAGGACAGTTTTGCTGCTGTGCCGCCAAATTTATCTCCCATCAGAAGGAAAGTCATCAAGAAAAAGGATGAAAGAGTTTTTGTTGAAAATCATTGTTCAGGGTTTCGTTTTCAGTGAGAGTTAAAGATTTCTGAGGCACTGTTTACTACACTCTGGACAGAAGTAAGATGTGTTTGCAGACTCTAGCAGGGCCATGATATATTTTCCATCCCTTCCTAAAGTTTCTTTCAACCTTTGAACCTGCTAAAAAAATCAGCAAAGGTACAAAAGCTAGGTAGGTAGCAGTGAGGCTGGTGTCAGGCACATCACAAGTCTGCTGCACTGTGGCAGCTGAATGGTGTCCAAGGGACCGGAACTGTAGAATCAAAGATCTGGTTACATTTAGATGACTCTGACAAAACCATTCATTGATAAAATAAACAATCAAATGATACAGTGAACGTTTAAATAAAGAGCATTGCATCAAATTAAGCAAGAGAAGCCTTTTACTATTGTTTCATTAGACATTAAATGTCAGACGTCAGTCTATGTGCAAACAGATGATAAACAGATGATTAAAGTACAGATTAAATAGTAGCTTTAGGGCCAATGAAGGCTAAGGATTTGAACAGAGGAGAAACTAAAATATGACCAACTGAATAAAATGTTTTTAAAAAACCGACAACAACAATAAACGCAGGTGACAAGCAGACAATGACAAGGGAAATCCATAGAATCCGAAATAACCCCGACACAGGAAGTGAAATCATCTAGGAAATGTGTGGGTGTTTGTCAAAGCAACAGCATCTCCACTTCTACAAAGACCTCTTGTAACAAAATATAATAAAGCTATGCTGATTTATAAAAAACAATAAATAGATTCTTACACACTTATTGAGTCTTATCTGATGTCCTTAAAAAAACTGGGATGCCCCACACATGAAAAGTTACTTTTCTCTTTTCGCCCTCACATACACTATGTGAACCAAAGTGGAAGCTGCTTTCTGACATCAGCAGAGGCTTCATGTTGATCACTGCCTTGCCAATATCAAAATCAAAGATCAGACCAAAACCTTATGTGCAACGAGCAATTGCTAGTTCACATAATATTTTTCTCCAAAGTGAAATGTGTGTGATGCTGCATAAACAAGCTGTACAGGAGCAGAGCAGGAAAACTGTGATACAGTGCACACTTCAGCCTTGTGGGAACACTGTATTTCCTGTGAGAGAGAAAAAAATTGTACAAACTGACATGTGAGCACTGATACAGTAAGGAAGAGATAGAGAGAGAGAGAGAGAGAGTGTGTGTGTGTGTGTGTGTGTATGTGTGTGTAAGAGACAGAGAGAACAAATTCTCTTTTGCTCTCTTGATAAAGGTTCAGCTGTCATGGGAGCAGGACTATCTGAAGCACAGCGAGAACCAGAGGGAGGTAAAAACTGTATGTACTACAATAATTCACAGGTTTGTGTGTGTTTATGTTGAGTGCATAGTAGGCCTCATATGTTAAAAGCAGTGTACACTGTATGTGGCATTTGGATGAATTTAATGCCTTTGTTGATGAGTGAATGTCCTGATGAATGCTCCTTGTAGTAGCATCTCTTTCCAGTATGACAAAAGCAAGAAAGACTGTGTTGATTAATGGAAATGCAAACCCTTGCATCAGTTCAACCTGCCAGTAGATGAGCTGCAAAGCTGCTGTAAGTGCTGCTGAGGATTCAAACATGTATTTCACTGCTTCCACAGTGACTCACACTAGGGAAGCAGGTCTGCTGCAGGGAAGAATTACTGCCATCCAGTGGACAACAGAGGTAGTGTTAAAGGAAAACAAAATGATGGAAAAAGATCCAACTTGCTCATAGCAACATCTACTATTTCTTGTTTTGGTTTTATTTTTCCAGACTTTACAGCATCTGTCTGTGAGAGATTTGCCTCCATGACATTAATACATAAAAAACACTTAACAGCAACATGTCTTTCCATGAACAGGGTCGTGGTTAGTATAAGAATTATAATCCACAGACCACACTGGATTTTTCACTGGGACTACTCTCTAGAAAATAAAAATCCACAAGGTAAAAACGTGTACTTTCATATTAGCTGAGATCCTGCAATACTGTATACACCATCATGTTTACTTAGAGTTCTTGTACTTCGGTGAAAACAAAGAAAATGAACAATACTTTATTGAAATAATACGAGAAAGAGAAACAAAAAATAGTTCTTCCTTAAAACCATTACACAAAGCTCAAAATTAAAGTGCATATGCATCACAACATATAAATAACAAAGACAAATTCACACTCCTATAAACAGTCGCCCTGAGTCTGTTCCTGCTTTAAATCCTACATGGTCAACTAACTTCACCTATAGGCTTATTTAGTAAACGTTACATGCCATCACATTATATACCCAGCAGGTGGCGCAATAAGTTAGTTTTTTTTTGTAAGGAGGTACATCATGGCTGCAACAAACCTTTCATACATGCACAGGTGTAAACAATCGCCTCCATCAGTGATAAGCAGAAGCACATTGGAGGATTTCTGTAGCTTTTTCAACTGTTCTCCTTCCACTGAAACATCTCTATCAGCTGTCTTCAGCACTGCAACAAAGGAAAATGTTGAATTTTGAATTCTATATATTTTTAACAGAATTCAGATCAATGTAAGTGCATCATAATGATAATAACCTCAGTTTCAGTTCATCGTGAGGTTGTAGTTGGTGACAGGGAGCTCTGATGATGTAATGTCAGAAACTACCTCGTGAGGCATCTGAAAGAGTGAGATGAGGACTGAGCACCATGATAAACTATGAAGGAACACCTTTGCAGGTGGGTGTCTGAGGGAATGGACTGACCAGGACTGGAGGAGCCATGAAGAGGTAATTGAAGGGGTAGTGTAGCAAGTTGATGCAGGTGGAGGAGTAAAGGTCTGCATAACGCAACAGCTGGCTGGCAAACAGTGTCTGTCTGCAGCCACTGCGCAGGAGGCTGCCCATCTGTCCATAGGATATGTCCATCCTGTAGGAAAGCATCTGAAAACAAACAACAACCACATCAGCAAGCTTGACAGGACAGAAGGTGCTAAGGCTCAGCATAGTGACACACATCCTGCTGTGCTTTCTTTTGCATTAATGTATTCACAAAGTATATTTAGTTTTACTCTGGAACGATGTACAAGTTTATCCTCACACCAAATATTTCCTAGAGAAGGCACCAAATGTCTAATTTCTCCCACCACTAATGTCACCTGTTTGTTCAGGGAACGGTTTGATTCTCACCTTAATTCGGGTCTGAATGGCACTGACATCAGGACACGTTTGACTGTCGCCGCCCTGGTGCCTTTAAACCACAGAGAACAATTAACAGCTCCTACGCTGCGTCATTTACTGTGACAGTGTTGTGTGGAAAATACACAATAACATGTTCATGTCATGGTAACAAATGGTTAATAGTGTGTACTAAATGTTAATAAGTCTCATTTGGTCAGGACAATAAGGATTACCAAACATCTAAGAGATTTTCTACTTGTTAAGTAATATTTAGAATAGATCAATTAATAATGTGCTAATCAGCTTCTAATGATTTAATGATCACACACACTGCAATAGAAAATGATTAATTACCAAAAGTATTCTGACAAGTTTAGCAAATTCCTTTATTAACAATGATGAGCTTATCTATGATCATAGATAATCATAAATTAATTTGCATCATCATGATCTAACTGGTAACTATGGGATTATGAATGTTTACTAAATCATAATTATGTAAGAGAAGTGAACTCACTTGTGAAATTCAGCTAAGAAGATGTCAAGATGTTTCATCTCTTCAAACAAATCTGCAAAACCAAGTAAATCATCAAAACTTTGAAAGCCAGCAGATGATGGTACAATGGCAAAATGACGCCTGATTTAAATCTACTTGTTCTCACGTTTCTTCTCCTCCCACACTTGCAGCTCCTTGGTGAGCTCCGGTACGACCAGAAAAGTCCTCCAGCCCTGGCGCTTCTTGGATTTGAGTATGTCACCAAAGATGTGGTCTCCAATGTAGAGGATGTCCTTACCTTTGACGTTCAGCAGATCACAGATGATGTCCGAGGATCCTACCACCAGAAAGCACAAAAGAAGCTAACATGGAAGAGGTATCAAATTGTAAAAGTATTAAAATACATCCACACTCATGCATATGGAGACTAAGAAAAGCTCCAGTAACTGGATTTTAAAGGCAACCCAAGCACCTCACTGTGAAATTTAACTACTTTTGATGTTGTAGTTTGCTTCATGCCCCTTCGTGAATTTCCATTTTTACAATTCCCAGAAGGTCATTTCAAATTGTGCACTTGAAGAAGCATGATTGGAAGCATTTTATTTTATTATGGTTAAAAAAAAAAAATTCTTCAAATTAATTTGGTCCTTTTAGATAAAATAAAATCTCCTCAGGCCAAATAAATAAAGTTACATTTTACTGGTTAAATCCAGACATCAAAATTCATTGTGAAAAGTTTAAACTTGAACACAGCTGCTCATATCACATCCTTCCAGTTTCATGATCCATGAAAAAAAAAAAGCTCAGACGTGTGAGGAGAAACCCCTGACACTCAAATTATTATGTGAGTTTGTGACCCAGATATTATTCTTTAAGAGGAATTTCGAGCCACACTGATTAAGTAAAACATGTAAATGGTATATATGACTTCAATGGTATATAACTGCAACATTAAGAAGTGAGTAGTAATTAAATATTCAGAACCGCACCTCCTGAGTACACAGTTCCATGCTGAAGGTCACCTGTGTAAGTCCCAATCCGGAGCTTTCCTGTGTCCTGTGTCCCAAATACAACACAATACATGTTGATTGTTGCAGTAGTTCAACATTAATATGTTAATGTACAGTATGAGAGACTCTACCACGTCCACTTGTCTCAGCACAGTCCCTCCTGCAAAGAACAGCGGCTTTCTGGTGTCCACAACAATGAGGTCGAAGAAGGAACGCCAGGATGTTTTTGGACTTCCAAACTAAAATGAAAATTAATGTCAAATTCACAAAATGTTCTTAAGTAGATATTATCTATACATTCAAGCTCTTACCTTGGCACTGCTCTCAAGCAGATATGTCATAATGATCTTGATGAAAAAGGGAAAAAGTAAATTGTTAGAATAACTGATCGTGTTGAAAGTCTCCATTGTTTTGTGCTGTTAAGAGTGTTTAATCATGATGCAACAGAAGTTAAGTCACCTCAGTGTAGCTGTAGTCGCTGTTGGTGGCAAGGAAGACCTTGGCTACCTCTTTAATTCTGGTCAGGAGTACAGGGAGGTCCGGCTGCAGAGAACATATTTATTTACACAAGATTTCAGCCATTTTTCCCAAAATACTTTTTGGGAAAATACATCTTGGTGCATAATCTTGTCAGTTTACTCACATCTCTAATGACGTATTTCTCCAAATTCTTGATTGTTTGTTCCTTCAGAATGCCCTATTCCACACACAGATTCATATAGGATTACAAATGGAAACACATCTGCAGTATTTGTCACACAATGTCACAAAGTGACATGCTTTGTTAAATCACCGTGTCGTGGATGTAGTCCACTGCATTACGGACATCATGGAACATGCTTCTGAAGGACATAAGCAAGTCCCCGTGCTGGTAACCATTCACGAGACTGGAAGAAATGTAACAGTGGGGAAATACAGATGGAAAGTTTTTTTTAAACAATAAATTCATCTGTTGATATTTATGCCTGATTTATACATGTGCACTCACTTTGTGTATCTAGTACATCTGGTGAAGAAGTCTACAAGGCAGACATAGAGGTAGGTATCTGCAGAGTGCACGAAAACACAGGTCACTTTGAACCTGCTATTAATGCGTATACACTTACATACGTTTAGTCTTTTAAGTTTGTTTGGAATTCAGACACAAAATGTTAATTTATTCATGGTAGACTAGTTCTGAAGAGGAAAAGTGACAGCCTTAAACAGGAAATATAAATGTGTTTATCAAAGTTTAAACTAAAATGCTATAAAACATGCAATAAATAACAATAGGAAGGTAAAATCTTATACCTGACAGATTGAAGAGTGTGTTAAGAGTGTAATAGCGCTCGGTGTCGTGTCTTTGAATGAACTTGTTGGGGTAATAGTTGTGAATCTCTTTCCTGTTGAACACAAGTATAATACAGGTTAAGGTCTATGTGAAATCTTGCAATTATCTATTAAACAACACAAATGAAAAACAGTTTGTGTTTATCTGGTAAAACATTCCCCACAGCTACAGTCACTGTTAACTGTTTGTGTTTCCCTTCTCAATGAGGATGAATGTTTCCAAACCGAAATAAACTCAAGTCAAGGTTTTAATCAATACTGGTGCATTAACATGTAAGTAGTACCTTAACTAAGCAAATAAATAAGTCCAAATTCACTCAGCATGTCTTTGTAGTAATGATTTTTTATGGGTTGTGTTGTATCTTTGCCTTTTTCCTGCCTTTTCTTCTTCTTCATCAGTATAAAGCAGTAGTGATACAGTAGAGTGTGTGCCCACAATTTTGTACTGACGTTTCACTTTACCCTTTGAGGAAGTGGAAGCCATGACTGCAGACTAAAATATTGCCATTTGAATCCACCTTCAGGAGGTTTCCATATGTGGTGTCAATCACTAAACCGCTGAAGATGGGAAAAGAAAAATAAGAAGAAGAATATCATGATGTGAGAACTAAAGCAGATTTTTGTGCTTGTTTTTTGTACTTTTTCAAAAATCTGTTCTTTTTTTAATAGTGCTTTTCAGATTCTTTTAATGTATTTATTTATTTATTTATTTAGCTTCAGGTGAAGGAGTGTACAGCTGTGGATTTAAGAACTAACCGTGTGGGGAAGCTGGGGTCGTACGTGTAGGAGAGAAGTTCATGAGGGTATCCAACAGACACCAGTCTGTCTCTGGCCAGCTGAAAACCCAGGCTTTCATAGTCAGGAGACTTGTACACTGCAAACAAAACAGAACTATTAGCACAAAGCACATTTTAAGTAGCTAGTTCAAGAAATTCTGACTGCAACACAACAGCAGTCAGATTTAGATACACACAGTACAAATATGGTGGTTTTACGTACTTGCCAGTGTGTAGTCCATGTCAAAGCCATAGCACTTGATGTTTTTTAGTGTCAGACTTCGGTTGACAAATACCCTGTGATAAAACACAGCAAACACAGCTGAGGTTTGCAGACAGGTGACCAGTAAAAGATGTTTAGATGTTTGCCTCGCTCTAGTTTTGGCCCCTGGGCCGTATTCTTTGCCTTCCAAGTTCCCACAGTGGGGGCAGGGGTGGATGGAGGCTTGAGATGTTATCATTACCCTCATTATCTCCACCACTGTTTCAAATGACAATGCCAATTACCAGCAAGAGTATCTAAAAAGGGGTACATGATGTATTTTTCACTTGGTCTCCTGTTGTTCTCAGATGCTCCTCTTTATCAGTGACACCCTGACAGAGGAAGAGAGGCCTATCTGCAGCTCCTCCAGTCAGTTTGGCCAAGTCTCAATGACCATAACACTTCATACATACGAAGTTACTGTAAATAATTTACATGCATGCTCTTTTCTGTAAATGTGCTGTTGTTGAGCAGATAAAAGTTTGAAAGGTGCAAGTGCATTCGATGCAAACGCACTCACAGTGAAGGGGGGCTGCTGGTGTCAATGTCTAGTGATAGGATACAAATCTTGAGAGGACAGAAGCGTGTGAGGAATGACAACAGTAGACACTGGTGGATATTATACACCGTTACTATTGTCTAATTATTAAAACAGCTGTGAAAATAGTGACATGATAATAATTACGTGTTAATATTGTATAAATACGTATTCCCCAGACCTGGATAAGTTACAAAAGAAGAATTTACTTTTTACAAAAAAACAACAAAGGTACTGCCCACATTCTTATCTTTGTTTTGACCATGTGAAAAACTAGTTTAACACTGAGATGACGAGGTGTTTCAGTTAGGATGTGTATGTGTGTGATATTACCCTGAATTCAATCCACTCACTTTTGGTCAAGGTCTGTCTTCGTCCTGGGCTCAACTGAGGACATGCCTGGTTTTGTGTCCAGTGCGTCAATTCTCTGCGCAGCTGCTACAAACTTTAAACGAAGCCTGCTGATGTCCAACTCTCTCCTGTGACTTATGTTCACACGCAACTGTTGTGTGTCTCAACAACACGGCACTTTTACGCATCAGTCATTGGAAATACATTTAAAAGGCCAAATTATTCAAATGTTGTAGGCGTGGACTTGAGTGTTTCACACGCACGCTGAGACTCCTCCCTGACTTTTGTTTGTTGGTAATGTACACGGCAGCGTCACTCGCGCCTCCAGCCTCCCGCCGCCTGCTTCTGACGTTCAGCAAGGCATTTGGTTTTGGACGTGTAGATTGTGTTATCAGAGGCGCACACATTTGCAGGCGCTGCGTAATTGGCAGGAGTCTTCCGCGGACTGTCAGGACCAGCTGTGTCCAGAGCAATACAACTAAATACATTTAGATCAAAACATCTCAGATATTTGAATGATTTATTTGGCTTAAGTTTCACCAAAAGCTGCACTGCACAAGCATTGCATAAGCAACGTGTACTTTTAAGTATTAAAGTGCAAACCTACAGTACCAGCGATGTCATGATAACATCTGTAGTGACGCAGAAATTAACCAAAAGTCAAATATCTATATGAACACTGTTACAAACACTTATATCATTATGCACAAATATACAGTGGGTACGGAAAGTATTCAGACCCCCTTAAATTTTTCACTCTTTGTTATATTGCAGCCATATGATTTGATTTGATTTGATTTATTCATTCAAGCATGTAAAACAGTTTATATGTCAACACATGTAATTTCACACATATCCAACAATAATAATCCAATATCAATTTACTTATACCTAGTACATGCTTGAATACTGGAGTACTGAACCAACTCAACTAAAGATGAGTCACTGTTTAAATATTTACAGATGCCATTATACTGTATATACTGCAGAAACTTTGTGATGAAATTGTTTTTTCTACCTACTGTTTCCAAAGTCCACAGTGAACTTGGAGCCTCAAATTTTAAGATATAGCAGGGACAAGGAAGTGAGCAGAGAAAAATGAATATCTATGCTTTGGTGACAAATGGCGGTAAACCTCCTTGGCTGATAGTTGTCATGTGATTGCGCTGACATCTTCAGAACAGCTTCGAAATGGACTTGGAATTATTTGGGTCAAGAATGAACTTTGAACCTCAGCTTACAGAGTTATTAGCATGCTCTGTGATGAGCAGCATTCAGCAAACTGACAACAGGAAAACGATGTGGAAAAAATGTTTACTTGAACATAACTGAACACTGAAGAGCACTATTTTAGTTTGAATACCATTACAGCTGCCATGTCTGAAACCACAGACTGTGTCCAACTTATTTGTTGGTAGTTCTACTTATAAAAACATGTATTTGTCTTTGGCATTTACTGTCATAATTTGCCCTACTGTATGTAAAATTCTGTGGCTCTATTACTTGGCTTGAAAAACTCACATCCCAGAGTGGTGATTGTCACTGCTAATTGGCATTTAGTCTAATCTGAGCCACCTTTGTAGCAATGTTTATGATTGTGATTAAGTGTGATTAAGTAATTGTGATTAACAGTGCCCTAAGCCACCATTTATTTTGTGGTTTAGTGCACTTTACCTAACAAGACCCATCTGGAATAATACCTCATCTTGTCACCGTTATAAAGCAGCTGATTCAAAGCTCAGCTCTTAGCTTTACCACCTTGAATGTGTGACGACCTGAATCTCATTAGGGGCCATAACTTTCTGTCTGCTGGTGGCCTGAAGCTGCAGATTCTGAGGCTTGTGGGCCAGACATGTCAAGAAGAGAGGTGTCTGCAACAAGTATGCTTCAGTACAAAGCACTGATGGGCTGCAAAAAACCTGTACAGAGAATGTGAAGTTGACATCACACCATGTTGAATTTTGGGTAAATTAACTTTTTGACATTTTTGCAGATTTATTAAAAAAGAAAAACTGAGATATCACATGGTCATAAGTATTCAGACCCTTTGCTCAGTATTTAGTAGAAGCACCCTTTTGAGCTAATACAGCCATGAGTCTTTTTGGGAATGATGCAACAAGTTTTTCACACCTGCATTTGGGGATCCTCTGCCATTCCTCCTTGCAGATCCTCTCCAGTTCTGTCAGGTTGGATGGTAAACGTTGGCGGACAGCCATCATCTTAATTTTCCTTATACACTGATTTAAAGGCTTCACTTTCATTTTTGACCTGTTGAGCTTGCACTTGTATCATCATGACACATAAACAACATAACCAACTATAGCATTACACTGGCAGAACTACTCCTGTCACTGTTCAATAATCAAATATTTTAATGGGTTATAATAACATTATGTGGATAATGGTATTTCATTGTTCTGTATATACTGATATGTCTGGATAGATTGATATTTATGTACAGTATTGGAGTAAAAACTACAATATTTGTAGTGAAATGATAGAAGTGTAAAGTTGTATCAAATGGAAGCATTTAAATTTGTTTTATTCTGACACTGCTTTTCCTGCAGTAGTTAAAGGCACATTTCTTAAAGATAAGCACTTAATGCAAACATTAGCTCCACACTTGAGACAGTTTGTCCTGCAGCAGCATGAAGTCTATGCAGCTGTACTTGGGCCTTTCTGATCAGTTTAGCCTGAGTTTAAACATGCAGACTTCACTGGGCAAGCTACAGTGTCTTTCCTCTGGAGCCATTAGGACATTTTAAAATTCAATAACAGGGGTTCACCAGAGTACACAAACAAAAAAAAACCACTTCAATTATAATGCAAGCAGATTTAAATTGCAACATCACATTACAAACTGGAAATGTTGGTACACTTCTGCTTTTTAATCTCATGGTACAGCACATTGGTTTACAGTGACCAGCTTAACTTTACATTTTCTGTTTAATTCATTTAAACCACTGATATTATCTCGGTCCTATATGAAGTACTGCAGTATTTCAAGCTTGATGTTGCATACCACGGTGTCTGATCTTGGTGAATATAATCAGAATTTTGTCTCATATGTTTTGATATCAATTAGTTTCTGTTCAGTGTTTTTTTTTTTTTTTTTTTTTTTTTTTAAAGCTGTGACAGCTGAGCACCATCCTCTCAAACCTGGCAGCAATTGTCTCGTTCTTGGTCTCAGTGACACAGAACCTGACATACAGCCCACAGGTGGCACAGAAGAGCCGGAATATGAGAAAGCCAAAGTGATCCAAATGCTTCTGGAAAGGAAACACTTTGAAAGGCATTTGTGAGTCATATAGTGGTGCATTTAATATGATTTCTCCCGAATGTCTGTATATTCATTGGCCTGTGGTAAAATGTAATGTTTTTTCTAAGATAACCTTCTTACCACCAAAACAAGGATGAACATCCCCAACACAAACAGGACTCCCCGGCTGAGGGAGCAGCCAGTGGTGTGTCCAGTTGCTTTAAATGACTGAGTCAAAATTTCACCTGGAAGAGGAACAGTCACTCCAGCTCAGGGGCAGCAACACAGAAGAGATGTATTCACTGCAGTAAGGAAATACTTAAAATTGAAATCCCTAATTAATAGCCAAGATTTCAAGTGATAAACATACCGGGTCCACTGGAAAAACATAATATGAATATAAAAATGAGGACCATGCTGCAGTACGGCATTCAGGAAACATGAGTTTGAGGAAAATCAGAAGCTCTGTTGTTTACATTCATCAGTGATTTTATTTGTTGTCAGTTATCGCTTGTGTTTTAAGCATCAGCATGTGTAGTAATATGTAGAAAGGCATGGAAAAGAGCTGAAGTAACATGGAAATGTCATTAGCTTTGAAAATATTTGGTCATAAACTATGTCACTATAGGGTTCATCCTTTGAGGAACATGAATGTACAATGGCATACCCAGTAGTTGTTGATTATTTGGACCAACGTGTTAAACCGTGGCTAGTGGCTAAAACCTGTAATTTTCCCCATATGTCAACAGGAACCTAAAGAATTGGATCTCCAAAGCCCAAAGTCTTCAGAATAACTGCTGTTGATGTACTCCTTGACATTTTGTTGTTGACTGGTTTCTACAGACGTGTTATTTTATATAAAGAAGGTATGGACTATAATGATAATACACTGCTTGACAATCAAAATTATTTTAAAAAATATTTTTATTTATCAGGTATTTGTTACACTGTGTGTATGCAATGCTGCAAAGCTCAACGAGGAGCATTATAGCAGTATTAGACATAATAGATTTCTGCATCAGTGCAGAACACTGATGTTTCAGATATTGAATTTCCAAAACATGCACAGTGTAATACAAAACATCTTCTTGTCAGTATGTGCCTTTATTAAAGCTTTCATCCATGCTGGCATCCTACATGTCTTTAGAACAGTTCTGTCCACATTTCAGCTGCCATGTGAATCCACCACCACCTGACCCTGACTTGACTCTGCCCAGTATCTGTGACACTGCAGCTCACCACAGAACTTCCCCAAAGAGATTAATGCAGCAATAGCCACACCCACCGTCCCTCGCAGCCTCTTGGGGGCACATTCAACAGGGTACAAGGTGTGAACTGACAAATCCACTCCAAGAGGTTTGCCTAGGATTGTATTTCCCTCCCTCCCTCTTGTGGAGGGAGTAAATATCATTCTTACAAAACATATTCCCACCACACTTTTTCATGTTCATTAAACCACTCAGTAACCTAGAGCTAAAAAACCATGTTAACTGATAAAAAAATAACTTGAAGCAGTTTTGAAGCAAAAATCACCAACATTTTCTGGTTACACCTTCTTTAATGTGAGGAAGTGATGCCTTTCTTCATCCACATAATAAGAATCTGAATGTCTCTGAAGACATTCAAAGACATCACCTTCTGACATGGAACAGCCAAGTATGAAGAAACTAAAAACAAACTGCAGATATACAGAACCCATACTGGAACACCTCACCAATGCCAGAGACCAGAATTAAAACAGGGCAGAAATTCACCATACAGATGGTTAGAAATGACAAATGGAAGTACAACTGGCTTGACATCAAACAACAAATTCCACTTTTCATTAACACATTTCCCAAAGTTTACATTTGTCAATATCTGTTAAATTATTTATATTGTTTCTGCAAGCTACAAGAATCATTCAGATCATTTAATTAAATCTAGCATTTGGGTTATTCTTCATCTGTTAGAGCCTATTTGAACCTTGGAATTTACACAGGTACCCTGTGAGGAAGACACACAAAATAAT